AAATCAAGGTGGAGGCAGCATCATGCTCCACAACCAGATCGGATAAAATTCTGTTTTTTTTTTTGTTAGAACTTTAAAAATAAAGAGGGATCTTCAGGACCACCAAGATCAGTCAATATCTTTGACTTCTAATTAATGACCCAAGTGGGATGTATAGTAGCCTATGACCTGAACAGGTTTTAGAGTTACGAGGTACAGATTTACCAGCTGATTAAGTTATTGCTGAATAGGCACTTTCAGAGATATTTCAGCAATTAAGAAGTTCAACTGGAGGAATTAGGGTAAAGTTTTTAAATTTAAATACCCAGATGTAAATCTACCACAACGAGACCTGAAGTCAGGGGTTAATTCAGAAACAGAAAGTGGAGTTTCTTGTTAAATGCTTTCTACTTCTTGATCAGCTCAGTTTGACCATCAGAGCATCAGAGGTTTTAGTGATGCTGTGGCCCCTAAGTAAAATCTCACATCAGCCCTAAAAGTTGGTCCTTTTGAGAAAAAGGAATGATGGATCTCAGCTGATGACCTGAAGTTCCTCTTTCTTTACAAAGTCAGTACAGGAAGAAGCAGTGCTCTTTGTTTCACAGTAAAATAGTTAGTTTTATGGTTTGTGTGAGACGGTAGGGATGAACCACACACAGAGTCCTCAAGCTATGGGAGGAGCAGGTAAAACCCCAACAGACTTCTGCAGAATCATATGAAGAAGAAACAGGAGGAGGAGGCAGGTCCTGGTTTTACTGCCTAATCACTTCAAAGTACCCAAACAGCTGCTGCACATGTTGGTGGTAGCAGATAAAAGCTGTAGATTGCTAATGATGACAGGACAGTACAGCAGACATTAGGAGAAGATACAGATGTTGAAGTCCTGTCAAAGTTATTTGGGTCAAGGTTATTGCTTCTGGAGAAAGTTAGAGCTTATTTAGTTGGGGACACTTATTTTCTAATTTGTCTGTTTATCTCACTGTGAGTTTATTAAATGATGCTATTCAATTAAGTACTATCCAATTTATTTGTCGCCAGTTCACATCAGGTGTCATGTCAAGGATTGGTTAAAATGTTTTTCTATCTAAGACAACCCTGCAGATTGCATCAAGTGAACAACTTGCAGCAGATTGCATCAAGTCAGTGAGTTGGAATCAGTGAGTGGAAGCTGATTGCATCGAGTCTTTGACATTTAAAACCTACTCATTCTGGATGAGCGTGTAGCAACAATAGACAGTTGCACTACAAAAAAAGGATAACTTAAAATCAAGACAAAAGAAAATCCTAAGGAAAAGCTAGTCAGATCTAATTAATCTTTCCAAACAGCAATATAGTTTTACTGAAAATATTTCTAGATTCAAGAATTTTAAATCTACAAACAAGCATGTCAAACATTTAAAATAAGAAATAATGTCTTAAAACAAGATTTTATTTTTGTCATGGTAAGAATGAGATAATCTTAACTGTGCTGGCACTGTGTCGTTAACTGCACAGCAATCCCTCGTATCGAGGATGCATGTAGCTACAACATAGCAACAGTGTAGAGAAAATCTCACCATTACCAGCAAAAACCTGTTAGCAGAAGCAGAACCGGACTGAATGTGAATGACATTCTGCCACAACTTAATGAGCAGCAGAGAAAGCACAGACATTACCACGTCACCATGTTCTAATGTAACAGAAAGGCCTACTGCAGATTGATGAGGACTGACAAAGATTTATGGGGTCTGATGAAGACTAATACAAACCAACTAAGACTGGTGGAGACTTGTGGAGCCTCAGAGAGACTGATGAAGACTGTTAGAGAATGATGGAGACTGACAAAGACTGATATGACTGATGGAGACAGGTGGAGATTAATGATTGATCAATGAAAAGGGCTGCTGGAGATTGATGAAGATGGAGGGAGATCAATGAATTATGGAGACTTTTGGGGACAGAGAGACAGAAACTGACAGATAATTAGTTAACTACTTGCATAACCAGTGTAGGAAATCCTTACACAAAAAATATAAACTGGTCATTAATGCTAAGTAAAATGGAGGAAGAGTAAAGGAAAGGAATTTGTGACCGTGATCCATTGGTGCTAAGGTGGTCGATTAGATGCATTGCAGGTGAGGCCTGGAAAACTAAGTAGATGAGGAAACACTTAGAGGACTTGGACCCAAGACTTGAGCTGGGTTCAGCAGAGCAAACGTCCACAATGTAATAGTTCTGCATTCAGAACTCTGGACTGAGATGTCAGAGGAAGAAATTTGTTCTAGAGTGTTCTAAACCATTTCAGTGATAAGGTTCTGGATCACCATCCTGCTAGAAGAACTGGTGAAAAATTAATTCCGGGGATCCTACTGTGGTTGCCGGACTTAGTTGCAGTCTTCTTTAACAAAGTTCCAAGAAACTGCAGAAGAGAAACAGGCCCACAGCCTGAAAAACCTCCCCCACATTTTTAACGGTAGGCATGAGGTTGTTTCCCACATCCTCCTCCGTGGCAGAACCACCTTTTTTTCTTTTTTTTTTTCTCTGTAGGTTTTTATCGCCTCCTGTAGGATATGATACATAAGATCTGAGTTTGATTCTGGAGTCTTTTACCAACTTTCAAGCTTCATCTTAAACCCAAAGGAAGCTTTCCCAAGCAGAGCTCTAGTAAAAACCAGATTATTGGAAGGCTTTTTTTGTGTCCCAGTTAGTTCTAAAGGGAAGCTGAACCTCAGCTAGGACGGAGGATTCACAGCCTGCCCATCATCAGGGCCCCACAGAGGCTTGTGTCGGCCCTGCAGTCGGGGAAGAGAATGATTTGTGTGCAGCCTGGCCCTGGTTTTGTTCCTGCTGAGGCCATTTGAATAAGAAAGGTGCCAACAGAGTGGCTGAGGCAGAAAGAAAGCAGCACAAAAGGCCAGAGGAGCTGAATTTGGACTGAGGACAAACCAGAAGAGGAGTGAAAAGAAGCGCAGGGCGGACGGCCACAATGGAACAATTCACCTTATAATCGCTTTGATATATTATACATGCCTGAAGACTCTAAACATTGTGTAATTATTTATAAATGAGAGCCCCCCCCCCCTCGCAGAATAAAGCTGCAGAAAGACTCTGCAGGTCTCTGCTTCTCCTCGCTTGAGCTGCAAATCCACTAAATGGAATAATTAATGGAAAATTGTATGCTTGTCCCATAAAGATGTCGTCAAAAACTCTTAAAGAAAACTGCCTCTATGTGTGTGTGTGTTTGTGTGTGGGTGTGTGTGTGTGTGTGTGAGGCAGGTTTACTGCAGTCTAAAGAACTGAGCACCCAAACACAAACAGATCCATAGCTCTCCTTGTCTTTTCTGACTTATCTGATTTCACCAGTTCTTCTGCGTCAGGGATGTTGGGATTCCAACTTCAATTAGATTCTGAATCCTCCCTCTTTTTCCCTTTAAGCAGAATTATGTTTAACTGTTTTAGAGAAAGCGGACCAGAGCAGAATAAAGCTGCAGGAAAATGCTCTTATGTGAACAGTAGAGCTGGATTAGAACCATATCTTCTGTCGGTTACCAGTTCTTTAAGGCTCAGTTTGAGGAAGGAACTTGGAGCTGAAATGCAGACTCAATCTGAATACCAAAGAAAATAAGTGAAATCTAAAAAAAACTTTTCTTGAAAATATAACATTTTACCAGATCCAGTGTTTTTCCACTAAATTAAGACATGGTCTTTCTGCAACCTTAAATCTCCAGTATGAACTTCATGTCTAGATTGTTTTAATTTGGATTATTATATGATTAATATATAGAAAACAGTCTTCCCTGCTGGAATCTCCCATTGACTGTGGCTTAGTGGGAAATTGTGGGTTTGATTATAACATCCCTAAGCCAATGTTCCCCTGGGCAAGGCACTAATCTCTCAGCTGCATACCATTGAGGTGTGTACAAATTTATAAATGCTATAAATTTTACTTTACAGTATCTCTTATGCTATATCTGTTGGTTGTGCTGTTCTTTTTACATCTCTTTGCGGGTGATGAAGCAGACTGAAGATGTTTTATCATTATCTCCTTTTCCTCTCCTCTTTCTTTCATCTTTTCTCCTTTTTTTCCTCCTGTTTTTCCTTGACTGTTCTACTTACTTAGATTGCAGTGCACATAAAATCTGTAATACTCCCTGTATGAATTATATTTAAAGCTATTTATATGTATAAATCAAGCTGAACACTGGCGATAACCAGACTGCTCCACTTGTGAAAGTAAAATCTGTTGGGCTCTTTCTGGAATCAAGACAACTATTCTTATTACCACATTGACAGACAGGACACTGTGGGGAAATAAAAAAAGAAAAAGAAAAGGAAAAATTATGTCTTTTAATCTGATTTCACATCAGGGGTAGCTGAGGGTAGCTGAATTACTGCCTGCGTTGTCAGTCATCCTTGCTGAGTTTGAGTTGCTGAAAAACTCCTCCTGCAGCTCAGCACCATTGTCTGATGTTGCCTTCTGTTTTGATCTGTCTCATCTGAAAGGTTTGATTCTTAATCCAGGAATTCAGCAGCTCAGCTGGATGGATGGATGGATGGATGGATGGATG